GATGGATGGATGGATGGATGGATGGATGGATGGATGGATGGATGTATGTTCAACTTTAACTTCATTTCTGGACATTTATTTCTTTTTATGTATGGATCACTTGGGTTGTTACCAACATCTGGTGAAAATTTCATGTCATTAGCACCTCTAGGAATATATTTACTGAGAAAAATGGTGACGTGTTCAATACTTATTTTACCCGCTGTATTAATGTTGAATACTCAGTTTAAAATATGCACTCTGTTATACATGTTTTTAGATAACAAGACAGGATGTTTGATTAGTACAACCAGAAACTTACTCATCATAAACTGGTGGCAAAGAGTCAAACTCAAGGCCCACGGGCCAAATCTGGCCCTCCTTACCGTTTTATCTGGCCCCAAAGGAAATACTGCAACAATTTTATGTTTTTACTTTGTGTCTCTGTATTCAGTGCATTCTTCTTATGACAGTTTGCAACTTGCATGCCAAGAAAAACAAGTTTTAATTTTTCAGTCTTTTTTTTATATTGGTGTGAAAACAGTAACAGACAAATCTTATCAGTCAATTTAATTGATCTTTTTCTGTATTCTCTTCTTTTCATGTCAAATAATTCGATTTTTAGTGAGGATTTTCTTTTTGTACATGTGTAAGAAAATACGTGTTCAATATCGACTGAAGTCAAGATGAAAACACAATTGTTAAATAAACTGATTTGTGAAAGGAATTAAGTCATACAACACCAGAATTCTGGATCTGAGTGAGTTTTATTTGTCACCGGGCTGACAAGCAAAACCACACTGACTCAAAGCCAGGAAGTGCATGTTTTTATACACGATTCTTCAATGCCTGAGTTCGCCCCCTACTGACCTCYGGCTGAATCACAGGCATTCATACAAAGACCTCAATCTAATGTTTTTAAACGGTTCACTTATGTGTTGCTTATGTTTCGGACATGTAGCTGCTCTATTTCAATTAACACATAATAGATCAAACATTATAAAAGTATTATAAAAAGGAAACCCTAATACTCTAGTGTTGTTTTCTAATATCAGTACTAATCTATAATAACTATAAATTTCTTCACATGATTGCTGGATTTTGATCAAATGTATCTCAAAAAAATAATAAATGAATAAATTAAAAAGCATCTGGACTGGTTTTATCATGTCTGAAGTTGCTTTTACATCATGCAGCAAACTGTGTTAAAYATGTTCTTAACACTGAAATGTTCTACAATTGGTGGGTGTTTTCTGAACAAAACACAGGTTATGATGTAAAAACAAGTTGGTTTGTAATTTGACTCTAAGCAAATAATCCTGCTTGTTATTCCTTGAATTAGTAAAACTGTCTTTGTCTAAGAAGTAGCAGAGTAAAGTTGCTGAATCTTGTTAATCCAGTCTGACAGTTTCTTTGGATAAATGATCCTTTCTACCGTTATTTTTTTGTCTGTTTTTGTCAGGTGATAGAAACCTTCTTGCTTGCTGTGAATTCCCTGCACAGCTCTGTTCACACACAGACTCAAACGGACCAGTCAGACTTCACACTCAAACTGAAAGTGAGCACAATGTGTGGAACGAACACTTTCACAGGCTAACATCACCACTATCGTATTTACAGCCTCAGTAATGAGGCAGAAACAAGTTCTGACTGAACAGATTCAGTACAGGTGTTTCAGGAAAAAAAAATGCTTAGAATGAGTAAAAACTGTTAAAGTGATATTCCAAAGATTTTAAAGTGAGTTTTGGTGGAAATGTCAAAATATATACAGTATTTAAAATAAATTTCCCCATAGAAATAGTAATACTAGATATTTTAAATAATAATATTTTTTCACTTCCTTCAAAAACATTGTTTTGTTTTGTTTTGTTTTGTTTTTTTGGAAATATTGGGCCTCATGCAAGAACCGTTCGTACGCACAGATTTGT